TTAACAGACTATGACATTCGATTTTACATGTATGAAATTCTAAAAGTAAGTAACTGTAGGTACTAAGTATTTTTAAATTGCTCTTTGCTTTGTCAAGAGGTTTATTTGATGATAGAAAAACCAGGGGATTAACTTTGTAATGTATGCTGAAATCAGGGAACTTCAGCAGTAGTAGTAAACTGTTTTTAGTGTTGGACCCTTGGGTTAAGGCTCAGTAATGAAATAGGGTGCAATAGAACTATAACTAGAACATGTGGGTTTTATGTGATAGGACCTCTTAAGCAAGGCTGGCCTACAACTCACAAGGCAGTCCAGTCCAGGGTGGCCCTCTTGATGATCTCCCTACCCTAGTCTCCCACATTCTGGGACTCACAATTATGACCTACCACACCCAAATTTAGAATGCCTTGGTTTTGTTTGTTTGTTACAGTTTTTATTCTGTGATGCATGCCAAACCAGGTACTTTACCAATTAGCTGTATCCCCAGCCGTAGAATGCCTTAAAGAGAACTGGGAGTGGAAATGACAGTGTGAAAACAACTCTTTTTTTTTTTATGCACTAGCTGCTGATATACTTTATTTTACTTAGGATGCAACAAATGACGATGGCCTGGAGGTGCAGGCCTTCCTGTAATCCCAGTATGAGGACTGCCACATGTTCGAGGCCAGCCTGAGCTACAGAGTGAGACTGTCAAGAAACACAAGATTAAAAAAAGATTCTTGAACTCAGCCCTCAGAGGGTTATTGTTCTAAGGACTGTAAATTTCCACTGACTACTAGTGGATTTTGATTTCTGAAGTGAGATCACAAATTATCTTGCTACTCAGTAGTTACAAGATCAGCTTTATAAGGAGAGAACTGCTTAGAGTAGGCTAAAGTTTCTTATTAATAATAGGTTAGTACTATGTCAGCTGTTTAAGATTTAAAAGTAGCAAAAGGAAGCTAGGCATGTTTGTACATGCTGTTGATCCCAGCACTAGGGAGGCAGAGGCAGGCAGATCTCTGGTTTTTGAGGCCAGTCTGGTCTACATAATGAGTTCCAGGCCAGCCAGAGTTACATAGTGAAACATGTTTCCCCTCCCCCTCAAAATAGCATCAAAAGATTATACCTACAGAGACATTTGATCTTCCATTGACTCATGTGGAAAGCTCTACTTAATGCTGTAGATATATTTGCCCAGCCCTGCAAACTAGAATCCCAGGTTGTCCTTCAGGAAGAACAAGAACTTAGCTAATGTCATTGGTTGACTAAAGGCCAGGATTGACAAACTCAAAGTTGTGTTGCTCTATTCACTGTAACTTAAGCTTATGATGGAACTTAAGCAAATTTGATAGATGACCTAGATCAGGAGTTGACAAATTTCTATATAGGGCTGAAGTCTTTGCCCTGCTGTTCAACTCTGCTATTATAGCAAGAAAATAGCCATGGATGGGTTGTACACACGTAGGCATAGTTTTGTGTAAGTAAAACATTCCTATGTACAGGCAGCTGGTGATTGACCCAACTCTCAGCTACTGAAGAAATTACTGTTCTTTAAATAGAATCTTGGTAGGCTAATTTTCTTCTGAGGGGACTGTGTAATAGAAATACTTTAGGTTTTGGACAAGAAGTTGTGCAGTTTTGAACACTTAGGGTCTTTCTGAAATAAGTAAAGAGCAGCACATGCCTATAATCCCAGCACTAGGAGGCTGAAGCAGGCAGGTTGACAGAAGCTTAAGAGTAGCCTGGCTACAACATAGCAAGACCCTTTTGAGAGATGGAGATGAGATGATTTTATAACTTGAATATGAGAGCCCTAAGTGTTTTTGACTATGTGAACCAGGTCTTGAGGAATAGCTGAGAGTGACTGTCCTAATCATGATTCCCCGGATTGTTGTGAGGCTAGAAGAAAGAAAATAGCTTAAAACAATGTCTCATTGAAGCACATTTTCCTTTCTTACAGGCCCTGGATTATTGTCACAGCATGGGGATTATGCACAGAGATGTGAAACCCCATAATGTCATGATTGATCATGAACACAGAAAGGTAAAGTCATAGCCCAGCTTCTTATAAGTATGGTGGATTAGCAGTTTATCTTCAACACTTTATCCCTATTGCCTGTCTTAGTACCTGTTAGATACTTGATAAATATTTTGCAATTGAATGAAATAGTTAAGTCTACATGTTTAAACCATTATTCATATTGCTAGGTATACTAGAAGGAAACAGGATAGTGAGCAAGACATTGATCCAAGCCAAGAAGTCTGCCTTCTATTCCTATTAAGTAACTGATTTGTTAAATTCTTTTCACTTGCTTAATTAAAACAATAATAACAAATCTTTACAAGGATTTATTATTTTCCCTCAATGTCATTATATTTGATATGAGAATTAAACTCTCATGCTTGGGCTGAGTATGATGGCATATGCCCTTAATCTTAGCACAGAGGCAGTGAGATCTCTTGAGTCCAAGGCCAGGCTGGTCTACATAGCAAGTTTCAGGGCTGTATAGGGCTATATACTAAGACCTTGTCTCAAAAAATAAATAAGGACCAGGCAGTGGTCCTTAAATCCCAGAAGTTGGGAGGCAGATGCAGGCAGATCTCTGAGTTAGAGGCCAGCCTGGTCTATAGAGCAAGTTC